AAAAAAACGATTCCTTTAAAATCCCACCAAACAGACAGCATCACCTTTTTTTGGTGAATATCGGCTTTGGAAATGGTTTGAGCCGGTTCATCTTTTTTGCTCCACGACCTCTTGCGTTTGACGTTGTTGTATGCAACCCATTTTTCGTCCCCAGTGATGATGCGCTTCAAAAACGGATCATTTTCGTGACGTTTGAGAAGCGCAGCGCAGACACAGATTTCTCTCTGTGAGAACATGGGGAACTCATACATCGAGCTTCGAGGATAATCCCAGGCCTTTCAAGTGGTCATAAACTGTTGAATTTGATAAATTTAACCTCAATCCGATCTCACTTGTTGTTATTCGCCTGATCACATCAACTAATGCCTTTATCGCGTCTTTATCAGCTTCAACCGACCTTCCCGAACGTGGTGCATCTTCGACATCAAAATTGCCGGATCGAAATTTAGCGAATCAGTTCTGGCACTGCGTAGAATTAATTGGAATTTTTCACACACAAGCATTGCTATATGAGCCTCTCAAAGCATATAAAAATTATACGGCTTAAATGTGAAGTTCGGTGCAAAAGAATACAATTATATCCTCTGTCAGGAAAAAACGAAATGACTTTCCGAAGAACCCTATAGATCATTCTACATCCTTAACTATTTGCTTATAGTAATCTAATCTAGGTCTACCTCCATCACTCTTAACTTCTGTTTCTGTTTCCAATATATCCCTAGGTAGTCTTTCATGCCTGAGAAGGTGTCCTACCAACATAGCCCTCTTTTCATACTCCTTCTAATATCTCCTCATTTCTACCCTTTATATTCACGGTATCCTCATTATTCGTCTGTAACGCCACATTTCGAACGTTTCTAACCTTTTCTTTTCTATAGCGCCCACCGTCCATCTTTAGTAGCCGTACAGAGTCGTGTTAAAATGGACCTTCCATCCTGAATTATCTGATTTTATAGATACCGAAAATCAGCGACGTCTTCTAAAGTTGCCCTGTCTTTAATGATGTATGTCGGGTCTTTTATGTACATGTTACCGGAAATGTATGAAATCCGGCATTTTATACAATTCCTAGGAAATGTATTTAATTCCTAAAATCACCCGGTAATGTGTGAAATAAATTATATTAGACACATTTCCTAGGAAGTCTATACATTTTCTAAATAGCAATCGGAATACTAAATAGGCAATAATACGGCATTCTGTTTGGAGATTGGTGATATCATTTTTTTGTTAGGGAGATTTATGACAGACTAGAGTTCCTGATATGATAGATGTTAGAACAATGTGACGAGCATCAGTTTTATACATTTTCTAGTACAATATCATAATTTCATACAATTCCCAGGAAATATATACATTTCCCAGGATATGTGAATATTAAAGAATCATTGAAACAATATTTTCTAGATTTCCTAAATAGCTTCGGAATTGTATACATTGTTTAGGAATTGTATACAATTCCTAGATTTCATACATTTTCGGTAACATATAGATTAAAAAGTACCGTTGACAGTGTGCATCCATGTCTGACTCCCTTTCTAATATTTACTTCTCTACGTGGACTTCTTTGTAGTATTTCAAAATGTTTGACGAGGATCAACCTGAATCTACGACGCCTATCATGTACATACAGATAAGGTAAACTGTTTATTACCGAGCATAGAAACTACACATTTTTTGTCGTCATTTTTTCTTTTTATGTCACACGAGCAGAAATGTACTGTTTGAAGAACCCGTGGAGGGATTTGTCAAGCACAACTATCTGAGACCATCACCTACTTCGACCATTACTGTCCTGAACTAATCGAACTCATAAAATCTTTTGAGTAAAACGTATATATATATACCCCTCAAAGGCTTTCAATTGCATTTAATGGATTTATATTATTACTTTATTATTTATATAAAATGGTGTCTAAAAGTAATTGTACGAATTTGGCTATACCACATCGTATTTATAATTTTTTACGGCATGGGTCTTTTCCAATCAGTTTTATGAAACCTTATCAAATATTTTAAAATACTACAGTTAGCAGCAAATACTAGTAGATGGCGACACTTCAGGTTTAGCTGCTAACTGGGGTGTGAACCGATGAGAACTAATAAGTTCGAAATCGTGACGCAGATCTTATAATTTCTGTATAGTTTTGACTAACAATTTAATGCTCTAGTCTAAAAAACGATATCCTTGGCTTCAATTAAAACGATGCCTTCGATGTTTTCAAGAAAGTAATTAATTAATTTTTTTTTTATTATGTTTTTTTACTAATTTTTTGGAAACTCCTACTCGAAAGCCAACATTAAGTGATTGTTACTCATTCTTTACAAGAATTTCAAACAACAAATTCCAACGAAAATATTGCTACAAATATTTTGCATTCCTTCTTGAGGCATTTACTTTCCTTTAATTAAATAATGTTTGTCTGTTATTTCTGATTATCTTCGTAACATTATCATTTTAGAGGTCAACTATCAAAAATCGCCCCGTGCTTTGAGAAAACGAGCAAAATTATTTTTAGAGACAATTCCATGAATATTACAAAAACAAATAGGATTTCATATCGTCGATTCCATGTTACATTGCATTGTACATTTGGAGTGGTTGTACCCAGATGGGATTTTAATTGCTTCCCATGTGTTTTCGCAATTATTAAACTTCATACCAAATCAATGTACGATGTATTCTACAAGTGCATGGAGGATTTTACTTTTAGCTACTCTGGTTTAATCTGTACAATGATAATATAATGAATTAATTATTCTTAACGAATTTTTTTGATACTTTTCGGTTTACTTTAGTAGATTTTAGTACTAAATATAAAAAAAAGAATCTACCATTGTTTGAAAAAAGGGATTTTTAAGAACGTCCTCGGAGTGTTCTTTGTTTCTATCTCTGGATAATTCATAGTTGATATACAGATAAAATTAATTTTTTTTTTGATATTATTTACTTTTTTCAAGTACCTTGCACTATTTTGTTTCGCTAAAAGGTCAATTTATTCATTGGAGGAAGGGTAGTTCTCGAGTTTTTATAATTCTCACAACTATTAACACTATTCTCTTTAAAAGTTGTGATAATTTCGCATGTATGACAGAAAATTTTAGACAGTTATTGAATCGATAAATAAAAAAATTGAGATTAGAAGAATTATTAAAAAAACCTAAGTATCAGATTAAATGAACAAAATCAAGATGTAACATTGAAGGTAAAAACCAAGATCGAGACCATATCAGCAAGACTAAGACCAAAACTGAATAAGCAAGATCAAGACTAATACCTTGCTTTGTTCACGACTAGCTTTACAATATAATATGTATCAATAGGGGCTGAAGCTATAACAATGTACTTATGTATTTAACCAACTGTAGATAAGATTTGAAAAGGTACTTAAACGTTACTAATGTTTACGGTAGTTGGAAATAAATGTACGTTAACGAGTAAAGGATTATTTATGTAAGTTACCTCTCCAAACTTCGTGTCGAAGAATCGTAAACCTTGGTGAAGAGTTGCAGCGAATATAATGTAGAACAAGCCCTTGTTAACATTAGGCATTGTACAGAACTTCCTGGCCACTGGAGGATGGCAAACGTAAATGTATCGTTGTACTGCTAACGCCAATGTTAGCCATATACTAGATGTGTGAAACAGGTTGGGAAGGATCTGAAACAAACGACGATAACTTTGTACATATATGAAGATTACTTAAACAAGGGTGATTAAATCCCTTATGTTATTATCTGTAATTATACTTCCATTTACATATTTATTTAGTAAGTGTACAGATACATAACAATATCTATGTATCTACGAATTATATTTAAATTTACTTAAACGATATTATGAGTGACAGTTGACAACTAATGAAGATATCAAGTGCGGTAATTGTCTTGGTAAGGTTTATCCACATGCCAAGTAAGCATTTCTGTACCAGGATGGAATGAGAGGACTCCCTGGGGTTTCCACTTCGTCGGAAGGACTGGTCCCAGGAAGCCGCCATAGTGCCTCAGGGTTAACGAGGCGAGTTATCCTCGGGTTCAAGCCTATCCAAACCCTTAAGCGTTTAACTGAGGAACTACGCGACCCATTGCACAAATCCTAACCCAGAATGCGAGCTATCAACCAATTGTTGTTGTTGAGTCCAATACTAATTGGTATGGGAGAAGGAGAAGCTAAACTCCAGGGCACCTCCGTCCCCGAAATACTAGTTTCAGCACTCTAGTGACCATCAGCCACTTCGGAAAAACCCCACGCTAAGCATCCTTGTCGATTCCGCCTTATCTCTGTCACTTTTCAGTCACCTGGCTAGCCCAACTATGCAACTATGCTTTTCCGCCTCTATTCTGCTTTCACTTGTAAATGTGCAGTCCCCCTAATGGGTCATACTGCACACCCGATCCACGTAAAGCTACTATGTCTAATAAGCTTCACATGGGAACCCCATTAATGGGTCAGGCTACCCTCAATTCTATGACTTCGCCTGATACAGATCACTATGCCAGGGCACTTAGTTAGAGGACGACCAGCTAGAAGATCGCTGACTTTTATAGAGATTCCCATGCAACAGAGACTGCAAGTATCGGTGACCGCACAAAATAAAATAAAAACTTTTGGGTGTTTCATTCCCACCAGCCAGTAATGCTGGTGGGCGGGCAGTCACTCCGGACTATGCCGGAAGGTAGGGCGGAAGGCCCTCTTCAGCCTGCTTTCAGAAATCGTGGGAATGGGTGGGTGGTGGTTCAGGTGAGAAAGTTGAGACGGACGAAATGAAGACAGAAGAGAATGAAATATTATCTGTAGAATATAACTGTCCCAGTATTTGCCTAAGTGATCCAAGGAAATCACAGAAAAACTTGGACCAAGGCAGACGGACCCGGAATTGAACCGGCGTCCTCCCGAATGCTAAGCAATGGTCTAAACCTCTAGGCCATGCTGCTCGGTTGACCGCACAGGGAAAGCTTTCCTTTTTATAGACAAACTATATCGATGGGGCTAATTCGTTTTCCACCTGAGTCTACCGCGTCTGTTATGGGTTAACTTCTGCACTTTGTCTCCAGACGCCTGGCGGCCCTTTAGCTTCACCATAACTTGTGTATAGGTACGATAACAGTTGGCAGTTGCTGTTGACAGTTGCATTTGACAGTTATGCGTTGCGCGCTCAACTTCCGTTGCATAACAATATTTTACTCTGATTGTTGTCGTAGTCATCTCCTCTTCTATTGCATTTTCTGTATTATTATTTGGGTTCTGATTGAATATTTGAAGCAAATACTACCGCATTTTTACGCGAACAAATATATCATCAATCAGTATTTACTGTAACTCTTATGTATTAAACGGTACGAATAAATTTGTTCATTAAGTTATTAGATTTAGGCCCTTCGAAGATTTGTATGTACATATATCGCCGTTTTGGTTTACGTGTGCGCAGTATATAAAAATAGAAGTACTAATAACGTCTTTAATATGTCATCCTACGATTCGCGTCGTAAAATTGAAATGAAATTTCCGTCTTTTCTGAAAGACGAATTCGACAAAAGCAAAACGTTGTTTGATATTCTTAAATGAGAGGGGAAAAATTGGCCCGTTTGTATTCCATTTTAGAAAACAATGAGTTTCTTACAACAAAGGAAGCCCACGCGAATATAACGTGAAACCGAATAGGTACTGTTCATTTCCTTTACATATAAGAAACGCGAACAAAAAGTCAAAGGGATTATTGGCCTGACTTCATCTTTTGTTCTCACGATTAGTTGTTTTTTCAATACAAAAACGCAATAATATATTTAAGTATTCCCTACAAGTAAACACTACAAGACGTCGACTTATAAAAAGAAATTAATTGCGTTGCCTCCACCGCTACTTTCTAGATCTAATACAAAGAGAACAGCGCAAGAAATCCTAAATTGACTAACAGATAAAAGTTCAGACTGAGAATTTATTGAAGGCTCATCTATCATCTGCCTTAATAGATTATCAGGATATCAGCCGTTTGTGAATCAGCTAATGTCTAACGTCATGAAAATATTTACGAAGAGGAAAGTCTAAATCTAACTTTGAACTTTCCAAAACTACTGAACAGTTTGTAGCATAGCGTCCAATCAGTCGTTTTTCGTTGGACTCCTGGTGGACAAACAAGCGACAAACTATAGATTTTACAATACTTTTCTGCGCCAATTTTATTTCGGGTTTGGGTTATCTGTAGTGACAATTCTTTGGATCTCTAGTTGCTTTTCATTGGACACCTGCAGAACAAACCAGCCACAAAATTAAGGCAGCCTTCCGGCTATTTTTCGTTGGACACCCGGACGACGACAAATTATAGGCTTCACAGTACTTTTCTGCGTCATTTAATCTAATCTCCAGGAACCAATTGCGGCACGTTTTTGGATTTAGTGACAAATTATGCAGCACTTTGGAAATAAGGAATACAACATTGCTGTGTCATGTTGGTATACTTCCTTTTTTTATTTTAACCATATTATCTTAGTCATAAAGGTTGTCTAATTTTGTATTAAAAGTAGATCATAAACTCAACCAAATTTTTAAAAGTTTGTCCACTAAAACTGCTTTTCTTTGGTAGGAAAGAACAAAAAAGAGATTATCAATTATTGGTTAGATTATTGAATTTGAAGTATCCTCACTTCTTTTTTAATTGCACTGTGCCCTTGCTTACACACCATGTCTTGATATGTGATGAAAATAAACATGTTTTTGTCATGCTCCTGCCAAAAACATGATATGTTTCCCTGATTTTAAGGAAGAACGAGCAGCATTCGCTTCCGGGTAAAAAATCGCATTTACTTCTTATTAGAAAAGGATTTTGTCATCCCTTGCGTGGTTTCCACGATCTTATCATGAAAAAATTGAATAAAGAGGTATCCAAAATAAAACTTCTATTTTGTAAAAAAAAATATCTTGTCACCAAAGACTCAGTTTTGGTAGGTACTTTTAGGTAAGCTTACTGCGTTTTCATGTGATTGTCTATAAATTAATCTAATTTGAAAGGTATTGAAACACCCTATAAAGTCTAACATTTATGTATGGGTTTTATTTAACCTTTAATGAGATTGTAAATCATTGTAAAGGCCACTTTCCTACTTTATGTTTGTCGACTTTATTTGAACTCCTTCTAGCAAAGAAATTGTCTTAATAAATCTTCACGCGCTATATCACTCTCAGTGGAGATATTAATTCCCAACCACGGTGGTAAAACTACCAATCACTCTTTGTAACTTCTTTTCATTTATTTCTTTTTAAAAACACTGTTCTTACATCCCATTGTGACCTAATTTAACGTAACCTTTATTGCAACACCTATTCCTCTCCATCGTTTTTTTTTAGCTTTTACCGGATAACACAACGATTAATTCGGAAGTCTACTGTCATCAGCTGGACAAACTGAATGATGCATTTCAACAGAAAAGGTCAGAACTAATCTACAGGAAAGGTGTAGTGTTTCACTAAGACAACGCGAGACCTCACACAAGTTTGGTCACTCGCCAAAAGCTTTTACAGCTTGAATGGGATACAATGCTACACCCACCATATTCTCCAGACCTGGCACCATCGGTTTATTATTTGTTCCGGTCACCCCAAAATTTTTAGACGGTAAAACCTTCACCTCAAATGAGGAGGCCAAAAATTTTATGAGCGTGGAATTATGCTACTACCAGAAAGATGGCAAAAGGTGTTGGACCAGAACGGTCAATATTTAATTTAATAAAGTATTTGTTTATTATACGAAAACTGTCTTTCATTTCCACAACAAAAAACGAAATGACTTTCCGAACAACCCTATATATTTATAAATATTTGGTAGTAATACAATATAAAATCCAATTGCATCAATAACAGACTAAAGTAAACAGATTACTGAAGATGCAGTTACGTAAGAACGCAACAGTACTTATAGCTAAGTAATTGCTAAATTAAACGTAAACGAATTTAACTTGCAGATGGGTCTTTCTCCTTCCTTTGTTTTACATACCAAACAGATTGTTTAGTGTATTATTAAACTAAATCGTTCCTTTAATTATACTCAAAACAATCACATGGGTTTGGCGAAGCGTTATTAAAGAGCGAACTCTCGGTGAGTTAACAGAGAAAATCAACAAAACGTGACGGTTGCAAGAGCTTTTAGATTAAAGGAGTGACACACTACGGGAAAGTGACAAGTTTATTAAGCGTAGCTTGATTCTGGACAAATTGTATTAAAATAACTTCTATTACAATACAATTTTGAAGTGGGATCAATGTCATTTCCAAGGCAGAAGAAGATCAAGGCAATAAGTACGTCCAGGAACCAAAAAGCTACTATTCGATTAGTTGGTTGAATAGCAACCATATAAATGGTTAATTTAGAATCAGGTTTAGGGAGTTTGAGGCAAATTAAATGTTTTCTAAATCTTCCCTTAAACAGGGCATTATTGAAATAAGTGCAGAGCCTTAGAGATGCAATAGGAAATCGCATGATAAGTACAGCAGCGTGATAAAAGGACAATGCGAAGCCGGTCCTGTGCGTGAATTGGTACAGGTAGGTGCGTATCTACAGCAAATTGTAGGTTGGCTGTAACATAAACTTCTTGAATGACATCTAATTTATGTAATCTAACAAATAACAAACAAAATATGAGTAAAAAATACAAACGCAACACAAAACT